AAATTTGTTTATTAAACTTTGTCGAAGTCCCTCAAGTAGGAAACTTTTTTTTCTGTTAACCTGCTTTTTGTACATCTATTATGCTTATTGTTCTAGATTGTATTAGATTGTATAATACAAATTAAAGAAGGAAAAAAAATCTCTAACAATATCTCAATAAAGAAAGTTTAGACTGCGGTTATTCTTTCTTAAATGTAATCTAATAAATTTCATTTAAAAATAGGTTACATAAAATAGGGTGCTTTATATAGGAAATAAAATTATTTTTCTATGATTTTGATTATACCCGTGTACAAAAAATAAAAGTAGATAATATAAGCTAAATCTGATATAATATAAGTTTTATTCAACAATTTGTTGTCATTTTCATTTCTTAGCTCTGGCACATAACCGAAAAAAATGTAACCAAAAAGCGTTACCAAAAATTATTAATAAAAATAACGTTACGACACGAAGATGTGGTTGGGGGTGGGAATGGTGTTGGTAGTAGGGGTTAGATCTATGAGAGAGGGTAAGAGATAATGGGTAGAGAATAGGAGATAGGGGTAGGGTATAGGGGTAAGAGATAGGATATGAGATACGGGGTAGGAATGGGGTTAGGGGTTGAAAGGGGTTTGGGGATGGGTGTGGGGGTGGATTTGAGAATGGGTGTAGGGTGGGGTTGAGGCCTTGTATTGTATTCACAACGTTCAAACCAGAACTGAACTAAAATTAATTTAAGAAAACATATTTTTATGAATTCTTTAAAGCCAGATATTAAACACCAAAATATTAGCCAGAAACTTGATATGTTTTAATATACTAGCCACCTTAGATACTAGCTTGTTAATATTATACTATATCCTTATCTATAATTCCACCGCTATTCTAAATTTATTCGGTTCTTTAACGAGACATGAATATACTCTTTCGTGGTTGCAGACTCGGCTGAAAAATGTTTTTTTATAATTTTTTAGATAGAAGAAGACCAGAATTCCCCAACTTTAAGGAAATTTGTCTACTAATAGCTTTACTCCGAGGTATGCGTATTCCCGATTCATATATAAAAACCGCTACTGTAAATCAAGCGGGCAATAGTTGTACGATAACTACACAACATCGCAGCTTCCAATACGATTTTTTTCTCGGCTCTATTTTTACGGTAAGGACAACGGGCAATTAAAGTAGACCATCAATCGTAGCTAGCTTTTAAACAAGTATATTGCACCTATTGTTGTTTTTTTACTATAGTATTATTTATAGGTCGCACTTGTAGCTAAGCTGTTAATTAATTCAATATATTACAAAATAAACAATTTCATTCATTGATACTTAATACACTTAACCACTTGTGATTTTATTAAACTCTATCCATTGCAGTGTAAAAAATGAATTTGAAATAATAACATTACTTGCCCAAAATACAATATATTACTGTTTTACTTCAGAAGTTGTTGTGTACTGGTAGTGCAAGTAATGTACCAACAGTATTATACTTATTGTTCTACATTGTAACAAGCCACAAAAATGAAAATAAAATAAAGAAAAACAAAATACGAAACAATAAATTAATTTGAATAAATTCCATTTAAAAATAGGTTACATAAAATAGGGGTTTTTTATGGGTAATGAAATTATTTTTTTATGATGTTGTTTGTACACGTGTATTAGTGGTGTTTAGAACAAAAGTAGATATAAGCTAAAATTGACAAGTTATTAAAGATATTTATTTATAAATTTCAAGGTAAAGGAACACCATGATTCCCCAATCGTACCAAAATATGTCTTCTAATAGGTTTGCTCCGAAGTATGCGGTTCCCAGACTCGCAGAATTTACCACAGAAATTATACAACAGTAAGTATTAATTTATAAAATAAGTTTAATTTAAATTGTAATAATATTACACTTTTGAAGCTAAAAATCGATTATTAAAATTTGAAGCCGCCATACTTTTTATTCTTAAAACCCCGCTCGAATGTTCAAAATACAGGATGTCCCAGAAAGATATGACAAATGAATCAGTTTTTCTTTTAGTGAATATTTTAATGATTTATTTGAAGGGAAACTTCTATACAGAGGGTACAAAAAAAAAAATAGATTATCAAGAACCGCCAACGTCATCAGCTGTTCTCATTATTATTATTTCCTATGAAAATTCTATTCTTTTTTGTGCCATCAAATATCAACACTGTGTGATTTATGACTATGAATCTGAAATGATAATTTAACGATAAGGTTCATTATGATAACATATTGAATATTATCGTAGTGATAAAAATGGTAAAAATCATAATATGGTAGTAGAACAAACATTATTAATTAAACTAATATTTAAATGTTTGCACGAAGATACTATGTGCTTAATAAATATAATTGGTTTGACTAATCATAGATTATATTTTTTATTTGTTATTAATTGTGTACGTGAATTAGTATTAAAATAATATTAAACGAGTTCAAATTTTAAAATGTATACAAGAAAGGTAAAATAGAGAATAGCAGTTTTGACCAAAATCAAACAATAATATATTATTAAAAACGTTTTTTTTTTTTCGACACGTTGGTAAAATACTACCATAATCTTGTGTTAGACCAGACAATTTGAATTTACATTAGTAAACATAGTCCATACTATATCTGTTAAATGTGATAAATGAGAACGTGTACAAATGAAAATTGAACACATTTTTAGGCATTTTCTGAAAATTGTGCTCGGAATTTTTTTAAAAATGTATAATAGTTTCTTAAAAAAAATAATTATATAGTATAACAGATGAAAAAAAATATGAATACATCTGTACATACAAAATTCAATTAACGTATAATTTATGATTTAAGAATAATTTAAAAGCAGCAATTAAAACAAATTAACAGATATGTACAGAGTGAATTTTATCATGAGCCCCATAATAATTGAATTATTCTTTCATAGAATATTTATTAAATGTGACCACAATTTTCCTATAATGTTTATATTTCTACTCCTCCCAAACTGATTATTTTCATAGCAACTTTTAAAATTTAAATGGTAACGCATGCATGTTATTAACTTTTAAAATTGTGAATAATATACTAACAAATTTGACTGGTCCAAGTTGCTATCAGAAAACCTTATTTAAAGGGGGGTTAGAACATAAACATTTTGTAGAAAATTAAGACCATATTATATAAAAACACCATGGAAAAAAAATTATTAAATTATTGATTTAAGTATTTAACACCACCGTTGTTTGAATAAAGTAATCGGGGTTTCATTAGAAAACTAAAGAATTGCCTTTTAAGAACTACTAAAAGTTATAACAGTTAAAAAAAAAAGATTATACCCTCTGTGTATACAAGGTGAACAAATCCTAAAACAAATATCTGATTCGAGAATAATTTAAAAGCAGTAATTAAAAACAATTAACGGGTATGTACATTGTACAGGATGATTTTTTTATAATGGGCCACTGGGTTTAATTAATAATTGAATGGTTTTTTATTTGTATTTTCATATATTGTGACAAAAGTTTTCCAAAGGAGATAAAAATCTGAATAGAAAATTTAATATTTAATTCCTCATCATAGATGAATATGCAAATACGGTTAGCAAAACAAGTCAGTACCAAATTTTCATACGAAATAACATTTTTTTTAAATTTTATAATTTTTATACATATGTTTGAAATAATTTATTACAGCCAAACACACCAGAGAGGCTAACTAGTTTAGTGACCAGTAATCATATATTTTATTGTTTATACAAAAATCGCATACTACTTAAACATAAACTCTTACAACTAACATATTTTGAATTTTCACATTTTTAATATTAGTGAAATAAGAAATTATAAACTTAGTTAAAAAATTAAAGTAAATTTACTTGATAGTAAATGTCATAACATGAATAATGTTGTTATAACTCATTATTTTATATACTTTTAAAATATACACATAAATACATATTTTAATATATCGATTGACAATAATTTCTGTCCACTTTATTTTTGACGTTTCGTCCTTGGGCACAGTATTAATTTAATCGGTAATTGTGTTAGAGTTTAATAGGAAATTTAATACAAATACGATAATATGATAATATACAATATAATTTAAAATCTATAATAATGTGGTAGTACTAACAGTGTTAATTAAACAGATATTTAAATGTTGCATGTTTTTCACAAAAAGTTATTGTTTTTTTAACAAATTTAATTGGTTTGACATATCATAAGTACTAATATTATGTAAATTGTTATCAAGAATTAAAATGTAATTGAGAAATGCTCAATACAGAGTAGTAGTGGAACCAAAAACAAACGTTAAATTCAATTGTTTTGTTTTCGTATTAAAACGTTTTTTCAGTGCGCATTTTTTTCCCCCACGCGTGTGAAATAATATAATGTTGTAATTTCCCATAGGTTTTAAATTTTCATGGATACACATAACCTATGCGATAGCTGTTATTGTAGTTTAAAAAATATGTGTACAAATAACTGTGTAACACGTTGGTCTGGTCGATTATTTTTTCTTTTAGGAATGACTAAAAGTCGTCATAGTATAACATTTATGTATACTAGGTAAAAGAAAAAAAGTAAAAGTGAAAATATGTAACAAATATGTACAGGGTGATTGTTTAATATTGGGCCACTCAATATTTCACTGGGATTAACTAATAATTTAATTGTTTTTTTAGCAGTGTTGTCATATATAATGAGACACTAATTTTCCTATAATGTTTATGTTCCTTACTTTATTTCAACTTTTGACACTTAAATGGTGTAACGCATAAAGTATGCACTGAATAGTGAATTAGACTGTTAATAACCAACTGAGATCACATTACATAAAAGCACTATAGAAAAAATATATTAAAATATTGATTAGAAAAGTTGAGATTAAGTGTTGCCCACGGTAAAAAAAATCACCCTGTATACGTTATTTTTTTTATAACACAAACCACAAGTGCCGCACTAGTTTTTTATAAAATATTATAGTGCTATGCATACTGAAAAATATCATTTTAGTGTTACTTCTTTGGTTGATATATCGAATACACCGACCATACGACTAGTTGCATGGAAATCACTGTAACACAAAAATAGAAAAACCCGGTATTATAATTCATATCTTTCTTACTAGTTATATTATTTGAATTGTTTCTACTGTATTGTCCAGCATTATGAAGCTTCTTTGCATTTTAATAACGATTACCTTTGTAAACGTTTCGCCGATAATGACAGGTAATTATTTAATTTTTACACGTACCTCTTCGAGGGAGTTCAAAATCTGAATAGAAAATTTAATATTTAATTCCTCATCATAGATGAATATGCAAATACGGTTAGCAAAACAAGTCAGTACCAAATTTTCATACGAAATAACATTTTTTTTTAATTTTATAAGTTTTATACATAAGTTTGGAATAATTTATTACAGACAAACACATTAAAAAGGCTTGGGGTACAAGTAAGATTTATTTTGATTTTCAGATGATTTATACATAAAAACAGGCTATAGTTTGTTTTTATATTAGTTCAAAATATAAAAGAACGGGTATATTATACCAGTATACCCAATTATTCTGTATAAATACTAAGTTGTAATAGAAAATCGAAAACATTATATGTTTTATAATCAAAAAATCTATTCCTATTATTAAACGGAGTTTTGTATATGCAATATTTAAGGAAAAACAAAGCTTTATTCAATTTCGACCATGCTAATTTATTTACTAGTTACTTTGTGCAAGCTTCAAGGTATAATTATTAATTTATATAATTTTTTCTATGGGTATCGTCCATTTTAGTTTATTTAAGACCTAAAAGTCTAACAAAATTTCGACAGCATAGGACTCGAGTTTTTTGGCTACAGTACTATAATTTATGTAGGAAGCCGACTGTTATTTAAATATTTAATTTTTCTGTAATTAAATAATTGAAATTTGCAACATATTCAGACGGTTTCACCTACACTTATTAGGAACTTATCTTATTGTTAATTATATTTTACAACTAGTTAATGAAAATTGGGTTTCAATCGATTTGTTAGCCTTAACACATTATTAAATTTATCACCCGAAATCTGCATGTTAAAATGTATTGTAGACTTACATATATAATATTTACATTATTATAGTTAAGAAATTGTTTCATAATTTTTGTTGTCTGAGTATATAAGTAATATATAATAATTAATCACACATTTGATGAGCACCTTCTTTATAATGAGTATTTAGAGAACTGTAGAAATCACAACTTCGATAACTCTTTATTAGGTAAGTATAAGTTATTTTATGTAGGTAGATCAGGTGCAAAGGAATGACACAGACATGCATTATAGGTGTGTCATAATTTATTGTGTTTTATAATTAAGATAAAATTATTATGAATATCTTGCCTGTTCTTGATGACTAACTATTTTTAGAAAAATATAGACTATATAAATTATGTGTTAAAAAATAATGTACAAATTATTTATTTAGACTGAAACGTTAAAATAAAGTAAAATAAAATGTCAAAAAATAACAAACTGACAAATTAAATATTATTACCACTTATTAGTTATCCCATATTTTTGATTCTCATAACCAAAGAGAATGTTGGAATCGAGGTAACCGCTTTAGTAACCCAACTAACGTTTTGTTAACTTAACAAATATAATTTAACAATACTAATGTAATGGAGAAACGTATATTATTTTATCAGATGTTAATTTTAAATGAATTGTTAACATGTTAGTTAAGAGTTAAACACGTTAAGTCTTAACGTGTTAAAAGTGTATTTAACAATGGTTGGTAAAACCGGCTGATCATCAAATTGAACTTCATAAAATATAATGTTTTATGTTGCCAAAGAACACCCATTGTTCTAAGAATTAAAATCGGGCCATCCTATGTAGTCAACATTTTTTCTGGCTTTTGGGTCTAAATCGTCGACCTAACTGACCACATTCAATCCTCTTAACATAACAGGCTGAGTAGCGTTAGGTAAATAGTCACTATATAGTTATGTATATTCTTGTTCTAAACATTTTTATTTATTTTATTTTAAATTTTGTGTAAATCTAAAACCACTATTTGCTTATAGATCCTGATGGACTGGAAACTGCAATTTTAAATATTATTAACGGAAATAAAAAGTTCGGTAATTATTATTATGCAATAAAGATAAAAAAATTATGTAAAGAATGCTACTCGAAAAAAGTGTTAAAACTATAGTGTTTTAAAAATATCGAACATCAATAATTAATCAATTTATATTATTCCAAATTTAGACACTCTTAATTTGATGTTAGTTATACCGGGTAATAATATTTCTTATTGCTTATTGAAAGTATTTTCATATAGTTTTTGATAATAATTAATAACTAATTTGGGCACAACATATTTTCGTTTTAATTTCAGATAAAGCAAATTTTAGATTCACAATTGAGCATGGTAACCAATTGTTATATACTACTAATACTTTACACAGATTCTTAAATACCAATAAAATACATTTTTTTTTCAATGGCTTACACTTACAATTGTTGTTAGTCTTCTCGAAAAAAACTCCTTAGATATTAGATCTCTACCTCAAATCTAATTAGCACCTCTCGTTTTTTCGTTTATTAACATAGAAAATATTAATTTATCACTGTAAAATTCTAGTTTGAAAAATATGTCCTTTCTTCTATTTTTCTGACAACTTCCAACGTTGTCTATAAAAAAAATTGGTCCTGAGATTTATTAAAAAAAAAAAAAAGTACATATAATTTAAATCTAACAAAAAAACGGATAGGTAAATAATTAATATTTTAAAAATTACAAAAATATTAAGTCCCAACGCTTCGTTAGCGAACAGCCCTTTTTCAGGTCATTCATGTCATGTGAGTACAAGTAATGTCATCAAAATTATTATTTGTAAATAATTAGTATGTACATAGTTATTTATCTACATAGCTTGATAACAAATATTTGTTTTAATTTTAGACGAGGCATTTATTATAAACTTACCAGGTAATCTAATTGTATATATTTTATACTCCCAATACTGACACTATCAGTTTCATATACAAGTATATAATATACGGTTTTTGTTTAAGTACCGTGTGATTTTTTTTGTGTGATTAAAATGGGGACATTCAATTTTTTCTAATATAAAATATATTACCATTTTTGTCATAAGAAAATATATTTTATAGTATTTTTTAAGTGTCGTATTTTACTTTAAGTGTTTTAACAAAAATATTCAATAAAGAGTTCTCAAGTAATCAAATTAAAAAAATAAAATAGACATAATCTATTATATTAAAATTCCCGTCATAAGAAAATGTATGTTATTTTGTTTGTATTTCAGAAAATATTGCCATAGCTGATCAGAAGGCAGTACAAGAAGCCATAACCCAAGTTACAAGTAAATAATATAAATACTAACACACATTAATGCGAATTATTTTCAAAAATCATAACTATTAAGTTTTATAATCATTTAAACTAAAATTCAAACTTTTTTGTGAGTTTTTTATTGTAAAATATTTAAAATTTTCATATGTTTTATACAGATATCCCTGTGCCTAATAACGACCCCAACGAAAGTAAGCACCCTTTTAATAACTAACGTAAATAGCCCCAAAGTCCTAGTGTATAAGCCAATTAACCGTTTTATTTTTTAATTTATTTATAACACTGTAACTTATTTTTTTCACAGATTATGAGAATGATCGTCACACATTGACTTGGCTTGGAGAAGAAAGACGAATAATAATGGGATTTGTTACACTTACGTTACTTGAAGATGCAATAGGTAAATATTAATATTTCGTGTAGATTTGTACCAGTTTTACTTTTAATTACTACTCTATTTGATATACTATTCAAATAATATATTAATAACTTATGCACTTCATCTTAACAAGTAATTCTTCTATCCACTTTTATTCTTGTATAACCGATGCTACGCTAGATATTTGGCCTATGTTTAAGAAAGTATTTACTGTCGTTTGCTTTCTAGTAGACCAGCATACTGTCTATCCAAATATTCTAAATAATTACCAAAGGTGAATCTTTTATTTTTGACGTCATTTTCGATTGCAACATAAACATATCAATAGTATATTATATTATTGATTTATTAAATTATTATATCAATAATAATATAACAATACAAGTAGGCATAGACCTCACAGAACATATAGGAATTAGTTATTTAGATTCTTATTTTAACATACAACTATTGGTAGAATTACGATTAACCTTGTTTTTTTTATTAATTTATTGTCATTTTAAACTTTTTTGATCCGTCACTTTTGCAATGTCCTTCTATCAATAATTTTGCAAGATTTATAAAATTTTTAAGATTAGAATAAGATAATTTTACATAGTCATAAATAAAATATAATCCTAATCTGCTAGTTGTATAATATACAAAAGTTCTCCCATCGGTAGGCTTAATTTTTCTGTCAATCTACTCTTTGTAAACATCTATTATGATTATTGTACAATTGTTCTACATTGTAACAAACTTCATAATTACAAATTCAGTAAAAAAAAACTAAGTCCATAACAACAAATAAATTAAAAAAGATCTGCAGCAAACGGCGGTTATTAATTTTAAGTATATTTTAATAAATTTAATTTCAAAATAGGTTACATTAAATAGCATTTTTTTTATGTGTTTTGTAATTCTGTTTCTTTGAATTTTCTTATACACGTGTAGCATTATGATTAACATTGTTTGTTTTATTCATTTATTGTCATTTTAAACTTTTTTGATCCGTCACTTTTGCAATGTCCTTTTATCAATAATTTTGCAAGATATATACAATATTTAAGATTAGAACAAGAACTGTACACATAGAATTAAATAAAATGTTATAATCCTAATCTGCTAGTTTTAAAAACAATTTTTTAGATAAAGGAACACCAGGATTCACCAACCTTAAGGAAATATGTATTCTAATAGGTCTGCTCCGAAGTATACAATTCCCAGATTCGTATATAAAAACCGCTCGTGTTGATCAAGATGATAATGTTTGTATGTTAACTTCACAAAATGGCAGATTCCATTACAAACCTCATGACGGCTATATTGCTGTGGTAAGGCCAATGGGTCGTCCTATTCATAATGAATATGAGGACGTTTTGGATGAGTTAATGACATGGTTCTCGTAAAATAGACACTCAATCATAGTTAGCTTTTAAAAACTTAATCACATCTACTGTTTTTATTTTACTTCAATAACATTTATATGTCGCACTTGTATCTAAATTGTCATTTTATTTGATTTATTATATAATGAAATATTTCTTTTAGTGATATTTAATACTTTAAACCATTTGTGATTTTTATTAAATTCTATCCATTGCAGAGCATAAAACGAAATTGAAATAATAATACTATATGATAATTAACAATATGATATTTACCGAAATTATTGTGTTCTGCTAGTGCTAATAATGTGCTAACAGTCACTATGGTGAAGACAGGCACATACGTTTCAATAGAACCAAAACCTTTAAATATGATTTATCTTTTAAATAATATATGTGTTCTACATTTTGAGGTTTTTCATCAATACTTTCTTCTGTTGTTTCAACATTTTTGTTTCTAAATTTTCATTAGAAAAATGATTTTTACACTTTCAATGGTTAAGTTGAACATTACATTTTCATAAAAAATGACATCCCGGCTTAGTAAAATGGTTTAATATTCTTTAATGGTTTATTGTACAACCATCACTTAAAGTTTTCTCGATCTTGAATCTAACATGCGCCTTAGTTGGTTAGGAATGTGTACTAAAGTAACACATCTGAGAATTCGAATTTAGACAAATTTGGAATATGTCTAGTCCAAAATTCATCAGGTGTCTTGTTGATATTACCAAGTGTTAGTAGTAGATTTTCTAGATTAGTAGCTGTCAGTACTGCCTCTCCCTATAACTTCCTTAGACAAATATGATTGTTGTATGACTACCACTATAAAATCAATCTAAATATGGACTGCCCCAACGAATGAACCAAACAAACATTCAAATTGAAATTCTTATTCTGTTTTTTAACATATCAGTTTGAAAATTTAGATACACGTTATAGAGCTTATGTTACTAAAAAATATTTTAAAAAAAAATTTAAAAAAATATAGTCTCTCGTGGGTTTTTTTGAGATACTACCTTAGAAAAAAATTAGTATCTATACTTACGACCTTCTTCGATGGTGATAAGCTATTACAAAAAAGTAGTATCTGTACTTACGACCTTCTTCGATGGGGATAAGCTATTACAAAAAAGTAGTCTCTATATTTACGACCTTTTTCGTTGGTGATAAACTTTTTAAAAAAAAGGAGGTTCCATCGTACATCTTGTATTATAATAATAATATGTATTTATATTACAATATTATTATTATTAACTTTTTTGCAATTTTAGGCTACAAGAAACAGTCGTTATTATTTTACTTACAACTTGTTTTAATGGGAATGAAACTGTTACTAATATAAAATGTAATTCGTGATATTTTTTTTTTTAATAAACTTAATTTTGAAATCCTTCTATTAAATAAAACAAACACGTTATTATACATTATCACATAATAATTAATAACAAAATAAAAAATTAACTATTTATATAACAAAGTAGTATGTTCGTAATTTATAAATATAATAGCAATAACAATGACTTAAAACAAAATGAATTAACATAATTTACTTTTAACTGGTTCTATATTTTAACAGAGTTAAATATAACAACTATAAAAAAAAAAAAAAAAAACAGAATTAACTTTTCATAGGTTTTATTTAACATAATTAACCCTTTCGTAACTGATATCCTCGTACGAGTATTTAACTTTAAAAATCGAATAAAATATTACCAACGTACTATCATTATCATTACTATCAAAAATGTCTTTAAACACAAGTTATAGTATAGATTGATGATAAAAAAATCGACGCAGCTATATGGATTATTTTACTCTGTGTTTTACTTAAGACTGCGATCTGGTGGTTGATTTTGAATTATATTTGTATGATTGATACACTGCGATGAAATAATAATTGATATTGTAAAACGTACGTTATTACTGTACGTTATCACTATAACAATATTAAAATCTATTAGATACGACCTTACTCGTCGGTTCTATGATTGTGTCAATTCGTCGTATCTGTACATACGACGGTTTTTGTTGGAAATAGATATTTCGGGAAATTGTAAAAATAATTATTATCTTATCTCTTTGGTACACCTGACATACGATCTTTTCCTTGGGAAATACAGAAAAATATTCTTTATTAGATGATTGTGATATCTCAATATTGGCAAAAATCGAGATACGACCCTTTTCGTTGGAGCAGTCGATATGACCCCCATATATTTCCTTCGACGGGTGGCTTTGTACAAAATGTATAGCAAAAAACTAAATAGAAAATGGTTATTTTGTAATTAAAATGTGAAAATAGCGAAGAACAGGTAAATAATTTAAAAGACAACATTAAATTATTATAGTCTTTCAAGTAAAAATGTTATGGCAGTAGTGTCACTAAAAAATATTAAGACTTATTTTATTAGAAACTATAGTAAAACTGTGATAGTTGTGAGTATAAACCTTAGCAAGGACAAATTTTAATATTAAAATAAGTTAGAAAGACTATGAATGGATTATAATGAACTATAAAATATACCTATAAAAATCATAATAAGGTGGTAGTACAAACAATATTAATAATTAAACAGATATTTAAATGATGCATGCTTTTTACAAAATGTTGAATGTTTTTAATAAATATAATTGGATTGACTTATCAGGAGTAATAATAACAGTTATTCTTAGTAGGTAGTTATTATTTGTATAAGTAGAATAGTATTAAAATAGTGTTGAATGTTATCACATTTAAAAATATATATAAGGAATTTACTATACGAGTTAGTAGTGTGATGAAAAACCTACATTATATTTAAAATTGTTGCTATTGTGTTTAAACATTTTTTTAATAAAATTTTATTGTGACGCTAGTGAAAAACTATAATGTTGGGTATTCCGAGTGGTTTTACATTTTCACGGGTACACATAGCCAATATGATATAGCTGTTGTTAAAGTGTAAAAACCAAGTGTACAAATGACTATGTACCACGCAAACATTGTTTGAATATTGTACTCGTGATTTTATTAGAAATCTAATAAAATCTAATCTAATTTTCTTTTAAGAATTATTAAAAGTCATAAAAGAAAAAAAAAAGGTTAAAATATCCGTGTATACAAAGTGAACAAATCCTAAAGCTGATTCTAGAATAATTTAAAAGCAGTAAGTAAAATTTTTTTACAGATATGTACAGGGTGTTTTTTTTTATAAAGGGCCACTCAATATCTCACTGGGTTTAACTAAAAATTTAATTGATTTTTTAATAGTGTTTTCATATAATGTGACTATAATTTTCCTTTAATATTTATGTTCATACCCAATCCCAAACAAATTATTTTCATTTCAACTTTTGACACTTAAATGGTAACGCATACATTTTACTATCTTTTGAAATGGGGAATAATATACAACTACTTTAACTGGTCCAAGCTGCTATCCAACTATTTTTATTAACTTTTCAAATGGAGAATAATGTAGGTAGAAATAATTTTAAATGGTTAATAACCAGTTTTGGATAATTATTTTTAAGGTTGCTATCGCAAAAACTAACTTAAAGGAGGAGTAAGAACATAACGAATTGTGTACAATTAAGACAACACTATATAAATAGACTGTGATAAAAACAATTATTAAGCTATTGATTACACACAGTGAGATGTAGAGTTGCTCACGACAAAAAAAAACTCCCTGTCTACGTTATTTACTTTATAATAGAAAACCACTTGTGTCACTAAAGGTTTTTATAAATTATTATAGCACTGCGCATACTGTAAAATATATATTCATTTTACTGCTTTGGTTTTCATATCGACACACCGGCCTTACAAATAATCGCAACAAAATCACTAAAAAAAACTAGCTGTTTGAATACATATCTTTCATACTAGTTATATTATTTGAATTGTTTCAACTATATTGTCCAGCATTATGAAGCTTCTCTGCATTTTAACAACGATTGCTTTTGTGAACGTTTCGCCGATAATGACAGGTAATTAATAAATTTTTACACGTACCTCTTTAGAGGAGTTAAAATTCTGAATACAAATTTTAATATTTAATTCTTCATCATAGGGGAATATGCAAATTTGGTTTACACTACAAGTCAGTGTAACCCAATTTTTATACGATATAAAATGTTTGTTAATTTTATTAATTTTATACACAAGTTTTAAATAATTTATTATAGACAAATACATCAGAGAGGCTTTTGATAATGGTAAGATACAATTTGATTTTTAGATGGTTTATAATTTAAAAACAAGCTATATATAAAGTTTGTTTTTGTATCAGTTTAGAACATAAGTGAACGAGATACATAGTACCAGTATACCAAACAATACTGTAGAAATACTAAATTGTAAAGAAAATCGAATATTTTATATAATTAAAAAAAATGTTCTATGGGTATTGGCCATTTTGGTTTATTTTAGACCAAAAATTCTGACAAAATTTCGACAAGATATGATGGTCCAAGTTCAGTTCTGCAAAAAGATTCCAGTTTTTGAGCTACATTACTATTATAGGTTGGAAGCCGATTTTCACTTAAATATTTCAGTTTTCTGTAATTAAATAAATTAAATTTATAAAATTTTTAATATTAAACTACATAAAAAAGTTGTCAAAAATCTCGTGTCTCTACAGTACTAAAAACGGGCCATCCTAAGTAGTCAACATTTTATCTAGTTTTGGGTCTAAATCGTAAAAAAGTAACTGACCCCATTCAATCTTCTTAACATAACGGGTTGAATCGCGTTAAGTAAATAGTCACTTTAAAAATATGTCTATTCTTGTTCTGAACATTTTTATGTATAATTGTATACATTATTAAGATTTCATTTGAAATTTTGTATATAGCTCAAAACACTATTTGCTTATAGATCCTGCTGGATTGGAGACTGCAATTTCAAATATTATTAACGAAGATAAACCGTTTGGTAATCATTAATATATAACGAACAAAATTATTAAAATATAGATTGCTACTCAAAAAAGTGTTAAAATTGTAGTGATAAAAAAATTCATCATTTTTTATTATTCTTATTTCAGAGACACTTAATTTGATGTTGGTTATACCGGGTAATAACATTTCTTATCGCTTATTGGCAGTATTTCCACATAGTGGCATG